ATGTTAGATAGGCAACATGCAAAAAGAAAAAAAGGCATGAGAAAAACATTGCTTTATAAACCTTAAGACTTCATAAAAAAAAAAATTATATTTTGTGTATGAAAGCATTGTAATGTTTACTGATAATCTGCCAAATTTCCTTAAAATTTGCTTACTAATTTATAAGTTATAGCATGAAAACTATAACAAGCACAAAATGGTTATGAGGTCAGTCCCAGGAACCGAGCCCATGCTGAAAGAGTTAATTAGAAATTTATCTTGATGATATTTTGTCTCGTATCATGCCAGAATTATTTTCTAACCCAGTGATAAAATTATCATACTGACAGGTCAAAACAAGACCTACATCAATACCAGAAATTACCAAATGAATGACTGGATGATCAGTCTGTTATTATTCAGTGGTTCATTTATTTGTTGCTAAGTGCAAAGGATTACAATGAACTATCTGTGCTCTGCCCAATCCACTTACTTCAGCAGGAATTAGCAAGCTTTTAGTAGTACAGTATACATAAACAAAACAAAAGGTTGTTTGAGGATTTATGTGAAACTAAATATCTTTGTAATGGTATAATATTTTCTAAAACTATAAAGTATTTACCAGACTACAGATTTATGTATTTCTAATGTAATTGAAAGTACAGTTTAACGGAAGAAAAAACATTCTGTAAAGTCATATATGGAGGACTATTCTCATATAAAGATTCATCATATATTCAAAAACCAAATAAAAACAAGACAAACCTTGGGACTTGTGCGAAGGAGTTCAATTTCATCTTCAGATTTTTCACTAAGCCTGCTGCGATAGTGGCTAAAAGACTGAAACTGCAAAAAGAGATAAACTTAAATTAAAAACTTAGCCAAAAGGTGTGTATACCAACACTTTTTTACGCTGTTACTTTTTTTTTAAGTACAAGTTAGTTCAAACATTTACTGAAGATTGTTTAAGCATTACATAACAGCAAGGAAAAATCTGATTGACTTAACAGTATAGCAACGAACTACTTCAAAATTTAGATCCATCAACCTTGCATTCCTTTATTTACTTCCTTTTGATGACCTTTCCATTTAACAGGTAAGATGCAATATGTTATCATACATTGTATAAAAAAAAATATAATTAATACATTAAGTATATAACACGTGTCAATTATTTCAAAAAGGTAGTTGTTGCATATTGTTGCAGTTGCACAGACATGTTTTGTTTTGAATTTCGCGCAAAGCTACACAAGGGCTATCTGCGCTAGCCGTTCCTAATTTAGCAGTGCAAGACTAGAGGAAAGGCAGCTAGTCATCACCACTTACTGCCAACTCTTGGGCTACTTTTTTAC